AAAAAAAAAAAAAGAAAAGGGCTTAAACAAGACCTAAGCATTAAATATGATAAAAGCGACATATCCAAACATGATTAGAAATATAAAGTTACTAAAAGTATATTTAAGTAACTTAGCTAAACATAATAGCAATCCCTTCCACCATCCACTATGTGTGGACTAAAGACACTAGAGTAAAAGATCAAGATATAATCTGTAACGATCCAGCCTTGTGCCCAAACCATTAATTTATGTACTGTCCATTCTTGGAGAGCATAAGCAATTTTACCCATTGCGTCCCCTAGGATTCAAATCCAAGACCTGAGATATTTATATTGAATCCTGGTATCAATTGGAGCGAACAATACGTAAGTTAACGGTTTGGACATAGAGTTGAATCATTACAAGAAACACATATTTTTTGTAACAATTTGATCTCATGTTCGACCGTTCTCTTACGTAATTGTCCACTTTCGCAGAGTCTGAGCTCATTACCCCTAATAGATTCCTATCGCATCTTCAAGATTCGAACCCAGGACATATTTGCCTTATGAGATACTTAAACTGAATCCTCAATTGGTACTAAGATTCAACCTAAGCCCCGTTTGACAATCATTATTTTCAAATTCTTTTTTCTACATACCCATTTTTAACAACATATTCACACGATAAAATATTCTACACATAAACCCAAAAATTTTTCCTACTTTTTAACCTCACACTCTCCCAATAAACACTATTCAAAACTATGTTTTTTTCCGATTAATGATTGTCAAACAGTTTTTAAGTCTTTCATTAAGTGGAGGTCTTGGATTCAAATCTTGGATACGCAATAAAAATTCGTAAGAAATAAGATGGGTTCAGGTTCTTTCAGAGCAGGCAGTAAATTACTAGCTTAGGCACAGAGGCTAGATCGTTACAAAAAAAAAATGAGCATTTTTTTGTAACAATCAGGTCAAGTGTCCGGCCGTTCTCTTACATTCTGTCCACTTTGGAAGAGCGCCAATCTTTCCCCTCAAACCATGGTTAAACTTAAGTCTCTTATAAGGTAGAGGTCTTGAGTTTAAATCCTAAGAACTTGACACGAATCCTTGAAGGATAAGATGGGCTTAGATACTCCTAAAGCAGTACGTACAAGGAAAAATCAAACCGTCGTCCATTTCCTGCCCAAACAGGATATAAGCAACAGTCCCACTCATGCTAACTTCAAACAGGGGACAGTATATTTTAATAAGTATTTTTAGCACAAATAGCACTCAGCTATCCATCTATCTCTAGTTTATTATAAATGGAAGGAAGATATGGAAACTTAGCTTTTTTATGAAGTTTCAATTTACAAAGGCAATTCTTATGTTTGTAACTAAACGCAAGCTCTAAGCACCACCATTATCATAAAGTTTGAAGGGGCAGAGGTGAGAGGTGAAAGTCGAGAGGAGAAAAGGGACTACCTATACCATTCAGTAACTCTTTAAGTTTTGCTAAGTGATAGGTTTGCAAGCTCTAAGCACCACCATCCTCATAATTTTTGACTAATTACATTTTTCAATAAGCAACAACTCGATTTCTCTGGAGACGTCAGATAAATATTTGACGATCAAAGAGAAAAACCAAAACCAAAAACAAAAACAAAAGCAAACCAGGAGAAGACTTCAAAGGAAAAATGGGAATCCTTACTGATTCACATTGTTAAACTAGCAGTAGTAGATGACAAAGTGTAATTGAAAATAAAAAACTAAAAAGTAAAAAATAAAAAATTGGAAAGCCATCTAGTTTCTGAATTAGTCGAGGAATACATGCATAGAATACTTGACTGTTTTTCTCAGAACAGAACAAAAACAAGATGATGTGTACTATCATATAAATGACTATTCTTACAATTCTCATATGTTGAGTTGAACACCGAAAACTTTTATAGAAGGTACCAGAAGCTGGATCATGGACATAGTAAACATTGTTGATAGTCACACATGACACTAGAGTGAAATTCCCATGATGTGTTCAATGATGAGTATTTTATGTGAATTGCCATGTATTGGCATCAGAATTGAGGTTAAAAGCTAACTTTAAGGAAATAATTATTCATCATTCTCTAAACTAAATTAATTATTTAAAATTTCTGAAATTTTGTCTCTTTTTACAGTGTCTGAAGAAGAAAAATGGAGAGACGAAGTGCATAAAATTGACAACTACATGACTGCAAAAAATGAACCATATCAATATTAATAACTCTTTGATGGATAAAAAGTTCAAAATCTTTTGAAGCACAAATTAAGATGCCATTTCCCCCACGAGTTCAATAATTCAATTTTTTCAATAGAACATGCGACTGTGAGTGTGAATAAAGAAACAAATCGAAAGCAAAAGGATGCGAGGAAATCATCTGCACAAAACCTTTATAGGGAAACGAAGATCTCTACTCAATCTAAACATTGCAATTAGCTACAATCAGCAGTTTTAGATGTTCAGTTCTTACTTTTATGTGTATATTTGAAATTACATGGCACAAGCATTAGGGTTTTAACCTGTTTACAGGCGTCAAACATCATTACAAAGAGCACAAAATGTTGAGCTAACTAACTAAGAAGGAGAAACCAATACCTTACTATCTTCATTGGTAAAACATTCCAAGTTTGTAACAATTTGATCTCATGTTCGACCGTTCTCTTACGTAATTGTCCACTTTCGCAGAGTCTGAGCTCATTACCCCTAATAGATTCCTATCGCATCTTCAAGATTCGAACCCAGGACATATTTGCCTTATGAGATACTTAAACTGAATCCTCAATTGGTACTAAGATTCAACCTAAGCCCCGTTTGACAATCATTATTTTCAAATTCTTTTTTCTACATACCCATTTTTAACAACATATTCACACGATAAAATATTCTACACATAAACCCAAAAATTTTTCCTACTTTTTAACCTCACACTCTCCCAATAAACACTATTCAAAACTATGTTTTTTTCCGATTAATGATTGTCAAACAGTTTTTAAGTCTTTCATTAAGTGGAGGTCTTGGATTCAAATCTTGGATACGCAATAAAAATTCGTAAGAAATAAGATGGGTTCAGGTTCTTTCAGAGCAGGCAGTAAATTACTAGCTTAGGCACAGAGACTAGATCGTTACAAAAAAAAAATGAGCATTTTTTTGTAACAATCAGGTCAAGTGTCCGGCCGTTCTCTTACATTCTGTCCACTTTGGAAGAGCGCCAATCTTTCCCCTCAAACCATGGTTAAACTTAAGTCTCTTATAAGGTAGAGGTCTTGAGTTTAAATCCTAAGAACTTGACACGAATCCTTGAAGGATAAGATGGGCTTAGATACTCCTAAAGCAGTACGTACAAGGAAAAATCAAACCGTCGTCCATTTCCTGCCCAAACAGGATATAAGCAACAGTCCCACTCATGCTAACTTCAAACAGGGGACAGTATATTTTAATAAGTATTTTTAGCACAAATAGCACTCAGCTATCCATCTATCTCTAGTTTATTATAAATGGAAGGAAGATATGGAAACTTAGCTTTTTTATGAAGTTTCAATTTACAAAGGCAATTCTTATGTTTGTAACTAAACGCAAGCTCTAAGCACCACCATTATCATAAAGTTTGAAGGGGCAGAGGTGAGAGGTGAAAGTCGAGAGGAGAAAAGGGACTACCTATACCATTCAGTAACTCTTTAAGTTTTGCTAAGTGATAGGTTTGCAAGCTCTAAGCACCACCATCCTCATAATTTTTGACTAATTACATTTTTCAATAAGCAACAACTCGATTTCTCTGGAGACGTCAGATAAATATTTGACGATCAAAGAGAAAAACCAAAACCAAAAACAAAAACAAAAGCAAACCAGGAGAAGACTTCAAAGGAAAAATGGGAATCCTTACTGATTCACATTGTTAAACTAGCAGTAGTAGATGACAAAGTGTAATTGAAAATAAAAAACTAAAAAGTAAAAAATAAAAAATTGGAAAGCCATCTAGTTTCTGAATTAGTCGAGGAATACATGCATAGAATACTTGACTGTTTTTCTCAGAACAGAACAAAAACAAGATGATGTGTACTATCATATAAAAGACTATTCTTACAATTCTCATATGTTGAGTTGAACACCGAAAACTTTTATAGAAGGTACCAGAAGCTGGATCATGGACATAGTAAACATTGTTGAGTCACACATGACACTAGAGTGAAATTCCCATGATGTGTTCAATGATGAGTATTTTATGTGAATTGCCATGTATTGGCATCAGAATTGAGGTTAAAAGCTAACTTTAAGGAAATAATTATTCATCATTCTCTAAACTAAATTAATTATTTAAAATTTCTGAAATTTTGTCTCTTTTTACAGTGTCTGAAGAAGAAAAATGGAGAGACGAAGTGCATAAAATTGACAACTACATGACTGCAAAAAATGAACCATATCAATATTAATAACTCTTTGATGGATAAAAAGTTCAAAATCTTTTGAAGCACAAATTAAGATGCCATTTCCCCCACGAGTTCAATAATTCAATTTTTTCAATAGAACATGCGACTGTGAGTGTGAATAAAGAAACAAATCGAAAGCAAAAGGATGCGAGGAAATCATCTGCACAAAACCTTTATAGGGAAACGAAGATCTCTACTCAATCTAAACATTGCAATTAGCTACAATCAGCAGTTTTAGATGTTCAGTTCTTACTTTTATGTGTATATTTGAAATTACATGGCACAAGCATTAGGGTTTTAACCTGTTTACAGGCGTCAAACATCATTACAAAGAGCACAAAATGTTGAGCTAACTAACTAAGAAGGAGAAACCAATACCTTACTATCTTCATTGGTAAAACATTCCAAGCATCGCTGGACAACATGGTTACCATTTAGGTCTTTGATGAGGGCAAGAAAACCTGGTTCAAGGGCAGCAATAGCTAGCGAAATCTGTTTCCTTGTTTTGAGAGTCTCAATCAACTTCTGGACCACTCGAGTGCTGATACAAATAGAACATAATGTGTAATCAAATATAGAAACAGAAAGACAGCAAAATGTAGACAACTTACCCATGTGTATTTAAAGAGATCCTAACAAGCTCCCCTGGTTCCTCAGTTACTCTAAGCAGAATCTCCTTTCTTTGTTCTTCATTGCACACTTCCAACAGTTTCTGCATAAGGTAATTTCCGAAGGGATTCATCATAAGTTCAACCACATGATGAATTACCTCAGTGAATATTATCTGAACATCTCGAGATGTTCCTTCATTAAAGATCCTTTGCAAAAATCGGCAACCATGCTGATCCTTGGCCATGTGATATATATATCCTTGAGCTTCGGCTAGGGAGCTACACTTTGATGAGATCGTGAAAGGGGAATGTGTCCTTGCACACCGGCCACTTTCTTGGGTTTTAGCAACATTGGGATGTACATCTAGTTGTAACCTGGTTTCTTGGGGTACGAAATCCAGGGTACTTTGTCCCCTAGAACATTCATATCTTCTTTTCATCGCACCATTTAGGTCTTCCCCTTGGACAATTAAACCATTCTCTCTCGTTAAGCCTTTGACAATCCTTTCAGGCACTCTAACATGTGCAGGTACTTTGCTCCTTCCATTAGGCGTTGGTTGCTGGAAATGAAGTAAATTTGGTGCACTAAATTGGGACATTAAGTGAGTCGACTGAAGCACGTTTGATGAAGAAAAAGCATCTCTGCCATCAATTAGATTCATTCCATTTCGCGAAGCATTAATTGAAGTATCAGGCCTATTCAAAGAGGAAGAAATTAAAGCCGAAACTCCCACAAGGAAATGATTGCCAGTCTGCAAATTAGCTCTATAGAATTGAGAACTCAAAGCAGAATTCTCGCAATCTGATTGAGCAAACAATCTATCAGATCGAACAGGGGAATACCGAGATCCCAATGAATTATCCATTCTGTAGTCGTGTTGAATTCCCACCTGCCCCTCAAAATTCACAGGACTTCTTAGAACATAAGAATTAAATCTTCCCCAATCCGGAAAACCCTTCCCATAATTAACAGATTCCCCATTCTTATCAGAACTCATTCGAACAACCCCACTCATAGATTGATCGCAAATTTGATTACCATTTGGGGATGCTGAAACATCCCTTTTATCATCAATGATACACATTTTACTGAAATTTCTCACAAAATCCAGTTCATCAACCATATTTTTGTCACTAGACCTCTTAAAATCCGGCCAAAATCCCGAGCGAGACTTCAGCTCTTCAAATTGGGGTGGGGTGGGTGATCCACTATCAGAAAATGAATGCCCACCAGAGAACAAGCTTGATGAAGAACCATCGGATTGTAAAGAAAACCCACTCACTGGAGAAGAGATAAATGCATACTTATGCTTTGACAATTCATCATCAGACATATAGTGATCATGACCATTAATTTTTCGGGACACAGACGATACATTACCATATCCATGATGATCAAGATTATGATGATGAGATTTGGCATGTGTGATTTGAGTATTCAATGAAGATGTGGCATGTGGAATCTCACCCAAAAGCCTTTCAAGCTCATCATCATCCTTCATGATTTCTACTAGTTTCTCGATCTTCACTCTCTCAAACTTCAAATTAACAAGAAAAACAACCACAAAATGGATACAAAAAATCAAGATTTAAACAGAAACAATGAAAACTGTGGAAAAAAATTAGAGGAGATTCATCTAGAAATGATCAAAAGAAGAGAAAATAACGAAGACCCACGAGAAATTACCACTTTTGAGCATCTGTGTTGGTCAGTCCAATCGATAAAAATGGAAAAGGATGATGAAATGACGAAATTTCATAAGCATTTCGTTTCGATTTTCATTTCAAGAAAGATTTTCTTTTTCCTTTTGATTTTTAAAGCTCGTTTCGGTTTTGAGCGAGAGTTGGTGAAGCATGCAAATATGAATGGAATGGTTACAAACATGTACTGTAGATAATACATATACACACTCTGGTACGTTCCCAAGCCATTAAACCTGGAAA